TTGCTTTTTTCTAATACAAAGTATCGTAGTATTCTGAAACATTAATACATAAATAATGCATCAAATTACCATCCCATAACATATACCATATCATTACACATACCATACCATACATATACCAATTAATATATATTATTTTATTCTTTCTTAAATTTAATTTCTAAATATAATTTTGTGATATGCATTTCTATTCTTTGTCACTTTTATTTTTATATAAAATTAATGCAAGTAATACTATTTTATATAATCATAAAATAAATCAAGTGTTATAAAATTTGACCTTTTGTAAGTAATCGTGAGTGTGTCCAGAAAAGCTCATTTTACATATATTTGGAATGTTGTTTGGTTTGATTGTGCAGTTTGATATCATTGTTCCTGTAATATCAAATGTATCACACAAACTGTTATAATTAACGATCGCTCGATTTACTAGCATTTATGTGTATAACAATTTTAATAATCATTGATTTTGAAGTACTTGTTAACTAATCAAGGCAAATTAAATTAAAATTATGTCAAAATTTATACTATTTATACTAATATTTATACTGTTTTTCTAATTTTTAAATTAATTATGTATCAGGCATAACTACATGACTAATAAAATTTGTTTATGTATGAAGAATGCGTAGGCATATTTTATTAACTTATTCCTTTTCGTAATTTTTAAAATATTGCATGGTAAATAAAATAAAAAAATTTAAAAATAAACGTTTTTATTAAAAATAAAATTTAATAATAATATTTCCTGTATAGTATTTTTAATTTTAGCTGGCGGCACTAATTCTTCTAATCTTTTGAATTTCCTCCTTGTGAGATATTAGCGCTCACGTAATTATAGATATCGCGGCTTTTCAGAGAAGAACTAAGAAAGCCTCGTCGCCTCGTCGTGTGTGACGCAATAAGAATTTTTTTAATTGTCTTGTGCATAATTAACGTTTATACTCATAACGTTTATACTCTTTGAAAGGTATTGATATGTTTCTTTTTTGAGAATAAATTATTGTGGAAAACAAATGTGTTCATTGAATCTAAACAAAAAGAGGAGATTCATGTAAGATGTCTCTCCCGAAGCCGTAAATGGGTGCGGCAAGAATAACTAAACAAATTTTGGCCCTTCGAACCGGATCCGCGCCATTTTGGATCCGAGAATTGATTCAGGCACACGTTTTATTGAAAATACAACGAGACAAGATAAGGCATATATATTCGGGCGTATATGCGAATGCGCATCTGTCTGGATTCAGATGAAACGAGTTTTGTCGGAGCTGCCTGCAAATAATAATTTACATTAATAATAATTTACATTAATGATTTACAGAATTTTTATGCAAGAACAGGTGCAGTGTAACCTAAGCTATTTCTTTGTAGAGTCCCAAATTCATTGGAAACATATACCTCTCTAGCTTCCCCCATTTTGGAGGGATTTGAGAGGCAGCGATAAAATCTGCTGAATATCATATGAAGAGAATTATCGAAAATGCTTCGCTCAATTATGATGAAAATACAGTGATTGCTGAAATCGAAATTATTTTAAATTCAGGGCCCATAAGTCTGATTCGAATGATTTGCAGTCTTTAACGAGACACTTTCTTATAAGACAAAATAGTTATGCCCATCTAAGTTTAGAGGATGTTCGTATGAATCGGCTATCTCGGTAGAGCGATTGCGGCAGCGATGACGCATTGAGTATCTTAACAATTTACAAGGAAGAGAAGTGGATGAGTGATAAGGATGAGCCTCTTAAGATAGGGCAACTAGTTATAATCCAACAACCCGGGATTAGCACCCCTATAATGATTATTGGAGCGCGTGTTAAGCGTGAACATAAGTGAGGATAATAAGATCAGGTCCGCAAAACTTAAAGCTAGCAATGGCGTAATAACCCGCCTTTTATCTTGGCTATATTGTCATCGAATACTTAATTAACCGTTATTGTTTACGTATCATCTGTATTATTTATATATTATCTGCGTTATTATGTTATATGTACATTGTAATGTTTAAATATAGTTAATGAATAATGTAAAGCGTAATTCCATTCACATTGTATTAAAATCGTATGTTTTAGTTTTAACTTCTTCCTTCTGTTACCTTAAATATTCTATTGAAACTCAGAGGCTTTCAAGGGAGGCAGTGTAAAGTATTTTTAATTTTAGCCGGCGGCGCTAATTCTTTTAATTTGAATTTCCTCCTTGTAAGACAGCGCTTACGTAATTATAATACGGCTTTTCATAAGAACTCTCTCGTCTCACCGTGTTACGCCGTGTGTGGCGCAATAAAAAGAAAAGTTCTTTTAGTCATTCTTATGTGTAATTAACGTTCATACTGCCTAAAATATTGATCTGTTCCTTTTTTGAGAATAAAGGATATTATTATGGAAAACAAGTGTATACATTGGATCTAAACAAAAAGAGGAAATTCATATAATATGTCTCTCCCGAAGCCGTAAATGGGCGCGGCAAGAATAATTAAACATTTCCAGTAGTATTTATCCCAGTGAACAGAATATCTAAAATCGTCGCAGGATAACTTCAAGATATTTTTTAAAGTTTCAGAGTTCTTTATAAGATATTTTAAAGATGTTTCTTAAGGAATTCTTAAAAATATCTTAAAGTTGTCTTATGCGTCGATTTTAGACATTCTGTTTATTGGGTATAGTATTTCTAGAAATATTTATAAATATTTATTTTACTTATGCTAGAAATAATACTATATAGTTTTTGATAAATTGTTAATTGTTTTATTTGACATTATATAAATAATAAACTA